GGGGTCTGGCTCGGGCTCGCCGCTCGGCCCGCCCACCCCCTCCCCACCTCTCGCCGTCGTCCTTGCCTCTGCCCCCGCTCCGGCAGGGACGCCGCTCCGGAGACGGACGACGACGAGGCAGAGGAGGACGACGAAGAGGAGGGCGACGAGGCAGAGGAGGACGACAACGAGGCAGAGGAGGACGACGAAGAGGGCGGAGCAGGAGGGCGACGGAGGAGGCGGGCGGAGAAAGGCGGAGGTGGGAGGGGAGCGAGCTGGATGGAGAGGGAGGAGGAGGAGGAGAGGGGGGTGAGAGAGGGAGGGGGCGGGAGGCGGCGAGGAGTGCTGCCCTCCGGTGCGCGCGCTCTTTCTGCCCCCTTTTCCTCGCGCCGCCATCCAACACCTGGGGGCCTCCACCCGTCGCACCTGCGGGGGCCCAGAGACACACGAATACACAGGCACGAATCCCAGGGTTCCCCATCTGTTCTCCTGCTTTCTCGAGTTTCGTCTCCTCCCCAACTTCTCACATCTTCCCATACCTTCCTGGGAAATCGACGATCACTCGTGTCTGCGTGCTCTTTTCCCTCCTGAGAAATGATGAACGAAGATGGCGACTTCTGACATCAGGGCCACCTGACCTTTCACGCCCCGCGCCCCGCGATGCACGACGCGCACTTCTCTTCGCGCCATCGCGCCCGCGCGCCGCCCCCTTGGGCGCCCGAGTTATCCGGGGGGTAACTCGGGTCCGGGGTGACTTGGGTTTGGATTCCCGAACAACGAACCCGAGTTACCCCTGATGATTTGGGGCTCTGGACGCCCGAATTATCCAGGGTAACTCGGGCCCGGGGCAACTGGGGTTCGGAATCCCGAAAAAGAACCCGAGTTAGCCCTGACCCGAGTGAGCCCTGACCCGAGTTACCCCTGATGATTCGGTTCTGGAAGGGCAGCCGCTCTGGACACCAGACCGCGACGCGGGAGGCGCGGTCATCTCCGCGCCCCCGGGGGCCGACCCGGCACGTGGGGCCGGAGTCGGAGGAATGCGTCTGATCACTGCTGCTCGTTGTCTCCGATGCTCGGAGCGCCCCCCGAGGTCCTGGGACGGAGGAGCAACGGGGCTGCATCGGTACAAGAGAAAAACAAAGCGGAGATCCGCGCGGACGTCGTGGATCCGCGCTGTGCTTCCCGCCCTGGTGCGCGGAGCGGGCCAGGGGCGGCGCCGGAGGCGCCGCCAGGGGGGCCCCAACGTCGATCCAGGAGATCCGTGCGGAGCTCCGACAATGTATGTGGATGCCAGCCTGTCCTCTTCGTTGTCTTCTTCATTCCCTACCTGGGCTCTGCCTAGAAGGGTTCTTACTCTCTAGCTGAAAGGGGCCGGGCAGTGGAAAGCGCCCCGGGCGGTTCCCCCAGTCCCCGCCCCGCGGTTCCCCCAGTCCCCGCCCCCTGGGTTCACCCAGCTTAGCTTAGCTTAGCTTAGCTAAGCTTAGCTTGGCTTAGCTTAGCTTAGCTTATCTCATCTTAGCTTAGCTTAGCTTTGCCTAGCCTAGCTTAGCTAAGCGTAGCCTAGCTCATCTTAGCTTAGCTTAGCTGAGCTTAGCTTGGCTTAGCTTAGTTTAGCATGGCTTAGCTTAGCGTAGCTTAGCTTAGATTAGCTTAGCTTAGCTTCGCCTAGCTTAGCTTAGCTTAACATACTTTAGCTTAGTTTAGCTTAGCTTAGCGCAGCATAGCGCAGCGCAGCATGAGCACAGCATAGCATAGTATAACATCACCAAGCATAGCATAACATAGCATAGCACAGCATAGCATAGCTCTGCATAGCATCGCATAGCATATCATAGCATTGCATCGCATAGCATAACATAGCATTGCTTAGCATAGCACAGCGCAGCATAGCATTGCATAGCACAACACATCACAGCATAGCATACCATATCATAACATATCATATCACAGCGCAACATAGCATAGTATAGCATAGCATACCGCAACATATAATGCCATATCATAGCCTAGCATAGCATAGCATAGCCCAGCATAGCATAGCATAGCACAGGATAGCATAGCATAGCATAACACTACTACTACCGCTACTGCTACAACTGCGACGATGAGGAGAAGGAGGAGGACGGCGTTTACCGTTACTACTAATATTGCTCTCCTAGGGGCTCCAACTCCTAGGTAGGGTCGCTCTGGGATAGTATGTGTTTTCTTTCCCTTATTATTATTACTATTACGATTCGTCTTCTCAGCCTTATCCTGATTATTCCTCTTAGTATTATTATTACTCGACTTATAAGTATTAGTCTTCTTCTGAGCATTCATCTTCTCAGCCTTCTTCTGAATATTCCTATCAGTCTTATGTTTGAGTGCTATTATTAGTGTGCTGCTTAGCCTCCTTCGGATGATCCCTCTCAGCCTTACTGTTATTCTCTCTTATTGCTCCTCTTCTTATTTTTCCTCTGATTACTCTTCTTATCCTTATGCTTATTCCTGTTATGTTCACTATTCTTCTTATCAGTATCATAATTATCATTCCTCCTATTACCCGATCGCTCGTTCACTGGCGCCGTCTACCCCCCGAGCCGAAGACTCGCTCGGCTCAGGGCCCGGGTGGGGCAGCGGAGGCGCGGGCAGGGCGCCGACGCGCCCGACCCCCGCGCCCCGGGGGGGGGGGGCCCGACGCGCTCGGCCACGCAGGGCGCGGCTCTCGGCGCCCGCCTGCCACCGCCGGGTGCTGCCGGAGGTGCCTCCGTGCCGCAGTCAGTCGGCCGTCCATCGGCGGCGAACGCTCGAGGGGAAGTGTCGGGCCGGGCGGAAGGGGGGGGATACCAACAGGGGGGGTTGAGGATCAGCTCACGCAGCTGATTTTCCCCGCGCCTCCTGGCACCGGAGGCGGCTATGTATAGAAGAATGGGCCCCTCGGTGGGGCCGAAACCAGCTGCATGCAGCAGATTTCGTCACCCCCCCTTTCCCAATCCCCCCCTGTCGTCCGGCCCGAAGGTGAGAGGGGTCAGGCCTGCTGAGAAGGCCTCGGGGCATGCTCAGAAGCCCTGGCGCCCTCTGGGAAGTCTTCTCGACCCTTCTCGGAAGACACGGGCTGCTTCTCAGAAGGGTCGAGAAGATCTCTCAGAAGGCGCCAGGGCTTCTGAGCAGCCCCGAGGCCTTCTCTCAGAAGGCCCGCCCCCTCTCACTGCCTCCCTGGGCTCGCCGCCGAACCTCGAAGAAAAAGCTGCATAAACATTAAACTGTTGGCGCTCCGCGCGGAGCGCCAAAAGTTTATGCTTACGGCGTTTTTCCTTGTTCGAAATCCGTATAGGAAGGATGCGCGGGCCTTGGAGGGCCTTGGAGGGCCATTGCAACGTTTTTCAGTCGAGGTCGACCAGGGAAATGACCAAGGATGGGCCGAATGGTGACAAGTTAGATGCTCATTCTGGGGACCTTCCTGGAGCCACTCGCTCCACTCGTGCGTCGAAGCTGCGTCGAACCTGAGTCGAACCTGAGTCGAACATGAGTCGAACCTGAGTCGAATCTGAGTCGAACCTGAGTCGAATCTGAGTCGAACTTGAGTCGAACCTGAGTCGAACAGATCCATTAGGTGGCCCCCAGGAAGGTCCCCAAAACGAGCATCAAAGACAAGGATGCACAGGTGGCCTTGGAAAGTTGCTCCTCCTTACCATGCGGGTTGACTGTAATTAAGGTGTCCCCAGAAGCGCCGGGGAGGCCCAGCTTGCCCTCGCCGGGTGCTGCCAGAGGTGCCTATAGGGCGTGAACTAATGGGGGGGCGATCGGGCGGGGGGAAGAGCGGTGCCCTTTTCGGGCCCTCGAGTGAAGTCGGGCATGTCCTCGTGCAGGCGGATTTTGGACGCAAAATGGAAAATGGTCCCAAATATGAAAAAATGGCCCAAAAAATAATCGACCAAATGGCCCCCAGACTACTCATGGACTATCCTTGAACATTCCCCCTGTAAGAGGGACACGCCCGACTTAACCCTAGAGGCCCTCCCTCCTGGGCCCTGAAGGGCCTCTTCAGGGGCCCTAGACATCGGGGGCGCGCAAACATGGACTAGCGATCCATGGATTTGGCGCGCCGTCGCCAAATCCATGGATCGGGGGAGGTGCCCTCCCCAAAATGCGGCTGGTGCCGTCTCGCTCGGCGGCGACAATCCGCGATTTCCCATGGACACGGGGCCCACCGCTGATCCGTGTCCCCCTGATCCATGTTTTGCAATCGCCTGATAGAAAGCCCCTTTTCGGCAGCCCTCGCTGCCCCATCTTGATCTCGGGTCAATCGGGTGGATATTACTTTAAGAAACAATGCGGCGAGATTTGCTATTTTTCCTATTGTTGGGTCCTCCTGATGGTTTTTGGGAGATAGCTCGAGCTACAGGCCACTCTCAGAGGCGAAATGCACACCATTCGACAGGAAATGATCAGCACCCCCCCCCTCCGTCGCCCCCCCCCCGTTGCGCGCCCTCCAATCTCACGCCAGCTTGCCCTTGCCGGGTGCTGCCAGAAGCGCCCCCCGTGCCGCCAGGGTGCCCCCAGGAGCCCCAGGGGAGGCCCAGGAGTCCTCCGGAGAGCACCCCCTCGCGAGGCCCGGAGGACCCGGGCCACCTTCCTTCCCTCGCGCCCTCGCGCCGCCGCCCTGGCGAAGGGCGCCTCTCCCACCCAGGCCGCCACGCGCGAAGCAGGCTTGCCTTCGCGCCCCCGGGGGTGACCCCCGGGGCTCCAGACTGGCGCGAGGAATCGGGGGCACCTTGGGCCGGGACCACTTCTCGAAGAAGAAGAAGCAATGGCACAAACATAGACTGTTGGAGGTCCGCGCGGATGTCTTGGATCGGCCCCGGGCCCCCCCCCTGGCGGCGAATCAGGCGCCGCCCCTGGCGCGCTCCGCGCGCCAGGGAGGGAGTACAGCGCGGATCCAGGAGATCCTGCGCGGAGCATCTGTGTGATTATGTGTTTATGTGCGTTATGTGCTATCATCTCCTCCTCCTCCCCCTCCCCCTCCCCCTCCCCTCCCCCTCCTCCTCCTCCTCCTCTCCCTCCTCATCCTCCTCCTCTCCTCCTCCTCCTCCTCCTCCTCCTCCTCCTCCTCCTCTCCTCCCTCCTCCTCCCCTCCTCCTCCTCCTCCCTCCTCCTCCTCCTCTCCTCTCTCCTCCTCCCTCCTCCTCCTCCTCTCCTCCTCCTCCTCCCCCTCCTCTCCTCCTCCTCCTCCCTCCTCGCTCCTCCCCTCCTCCTCCTCCTCCTCCGCCTCCTCCGCCTCCTCCTCCCTCCTCCTCCTGCCTCCTCCTCCTCCTCCTCCTCCTCCTCCGCCTCCTCCTCCTCTCCTCCTCCCCTTCCTCCTCCTCTCCCCTCCCCTCCTCCTCCCTCCTCCTCCTCCTCCTCCTCCTCCTCCTCCCCCCTCCTCCCTCCGTTTCCTCCTCCTGCTCATCCAGAGACCCAAGTCTGTGCTCATGCCGCTCGTTCTTCTTTGAACTTCCGGCAGCACGCCAGACCTTGCCGGCGCGCCAGCGCCTGCCCGCCGCGACGAAGAGCCGCTCGATCATGGCGAAGCACACGTACAGGTCCTCGGGGCCCTCTCGTCGCCTCTGCGGCGGTGTGGGCCTCCTGGCGAGCGGGCCCTGGGATGTCGAGGAGGCAGCGGATCGCCCCCCCAAGGAGGAGGCAGGAGGGGAGGAGGGAGGGAGGAGGAGGGAGGAGAGAGGAGGAACGAGGGAGGAGGGAGGAGGAGGGAGGGAGGAGGGAGGGAGGAGAGAGGAGGAAGAGGGAGAGGGGAGGAGGAGGGAGGGAGGAGGGAGGAGGGAAGGAGGAGGAGGGAGGAGGAGGAGGAGGAGGGAGAGGGAGGAGGAGGAGGAGGAGGAAGGAGGAAGGAGGAAGGAGGAAGGAGGAAGGAGGAAGGAGGAAGGAGGAAGGAAGGAAGAAGGAAGGAGGAAGAAGGAAGGAGGAAGGAAGGAAGGAAGGAAGGAAGGAAGGAAGGAAGGAAGGAGGAGGAAGGCGGCGGGGTGTAAGCGGCGGGCGGTGCGCGCCAGCGCGGGGGCATTGGCCACGTACATGCACCGCAAGAACAGGTCCCGCGCGAGCGTTGGCGTCAGGCCGTACGCCTTGCCGGCCTCTGGGGAAACCAAAGGTACCAATATGCCGCTAGTCTTGGGTTGCTCCCATCGTACTTCAGGCCCACATCCCAGAAATAATTTCGAGCACCCAGAAAAGTATCGACACAATGTCGAACGAGTATCGCCTCCCAGGGCCCGACACGTGAAAGCCCTCCAGCTTCGGTACTTTCCTGGTGCTCGAAATTCTTGCAGGTGATCAAGGCTAGAAGTAGGTTTGTGGATGCCGTGACCCTGGACACTCTAACAATCCCATCATTGAATTAAACATGTGTTAAACATGTGTAACACATGTTCTAAGCATGTTTCAAACATGTTTGTGCATACTTGAAACATGTTTGACACATGTTTTAGACATCTGGAAAGTACTGGGCAGCATGCTTCCTCCCACTCATCGTCCTCCACAAAAGAGTAGGGTGGAACATCACGACGCGAGCCCCCGGACCTCTCCCGGAGGGTGCGTTCTGACCAAGATATCTCGAGGCGGACCCAGCCGGGGCGACGCGGACCTCCCAGGAGGCCCCGCGAGGCGAAAATGGGCGGGGCCACGGCATCCGCTCCCGTGTCTGCCCCCGAGGGAGGAGGGAAGAGGAGGAGAAGGAAGAGGAGGAAGAGGAGAAGGAGGAGGAGGAGGAGGAGGAGGAGGGGGAGGGGGAGGAGGAGGAGGAGAGAAATGGGAGCGGGGAGAGGAGGATAGATAATGTTGAAGAGGAATACGAGGGGGAGGAGGAGAAGCAGAAGGACCAGGCGGACATCACAAAGAAGAGGAGGAGGAGGAGGAGGAGGGAGGAGGACGACATCGACGACGAAGAGATGAGAGAGGAGAAGAAGGAGGAGGAGGAGGAGGAGGAGGAGGAGGAGAAGGAGGAGGAGGAGGAGGAGGAGGAGGAGGAGGAGGAGGAGGAGGAGGAGCAGGAGGAGGAGGAGGAGGAAGAGGAGGAGAAGGAAGCAGAGGAGGAGGAGGAGCCTCGTCCCGCAGCACGTAGGTGCTGTCCAGGAAGCCGAGGCTCAGAGCCAACCACCCGGCCGGGCCGGAGGCCTCCCTGTACGCCCGCGAGGTCACCGCGAAATTGTACAGCTGGTTGACAGGCGCGCTGAGGCATGCCGCCCCTGCGGGGGGTCCTCCTCGTTCTTCTCGGTCCGCGTTATGCTCATCCCCGTAGGTTTTCATCCCAATCCTCCTCCTCCTCCTCCTCCTCCTCCTCCCCCAGGTTCGTCCTCCTTCTCCTCTCCTCCCTCCCTCGTCAAAGTTAATTCCTCCCGAGAGAGGAGGAAGGAAGAAAACGGGAGGAAAGCCGAGGGGCAATGATCGGAGAAGGAGGATGACGGAGAGGACTAGGAGGACGAGAGAAGAAGAGAGGAGAGAAGAGGAGAGGAGAGGAGGGAAGCCGGTAGGACATGGGGAGGACAAAGAAGAGGGTGAAGCGGACGTGGGGGTGGCCAAAGTAGACGAGGACGAAGACTGGGGGGAAAAACTAAAGAGACGAGGAGGAGGAGGAGGAGGAGGAGGAGGAGGAGGCGGAGAGAAATGGGAGCGGGGGGAGGAGGATAGCTAATGTTGAAGAGGAGCACGAGGGGGAGGAGGAGAAGCAGCAGGACCAGGCGGACATCACAAAGACGAGGAGGAGGAGGAGGAGGAGGAGGAGGAGGGAGGAGGACGACGTCGACGACGAAGAGATGAAAGAGTAGAAGAAAGAGGACGAAGACGAGGAGCAGGAGGAGGAAGAGGACGAGGAGGGGGACGAGGAGGAGGAAGATGAGGCTGAGCGCGTCGACGAGGCAGGGGGAGGACGAAGAGGAACGACGAAGGCACGACGGAGGGGGGCAGAACGGCGGGGGGAGGGCGCTGCTCCCACGACGGGCAGGGCCGCGGAGCGCGACGAGGAGCAGGGCAGCGAGGTGAGGACCAGGGAGACGGGCGGTCCCCGGGCACGGGCCGCCGCCCCCGCCGCCGTGGCCGTCGTCGTCGTCGTCGTCGTCGTCGTCGTCGTCGTCGTCGTCGGCGCAACCGCCGCTGTGACCGCTGCCGCCGGCACACCCGCCGCCATTGGCGTCGCCGCCGCCGTCGCAGCCGTCGTCGCCGCTGCCATTGCCGCCGCCGCTGCCGTTGCCGCCACCACCGCCGCCGTCTGCCGCCGCCGCCGCGGCCGCCGTGGCCGCCGTCGCCGCCACCGTCGCTGCAGCCGCTGCCGCCGCCGCCGCCGCCCCCGATCTGGGGCCACTCGCCCCCATCGTCGCCCCCGATCCTACAGACCACGTAACCGTTCCAAAAACGGCGTCTCGTCGGTGGACGCTCGACCAGGACAAGGGCGGGCTGCCAGAGGAGAAGAAGAGGAGAAATACCGATGCTGCTGCTCGTCCTGGAGGGCCCTCGTCGCCACGGCGGGATTCTCTGCGAGATTCTGGTCAGAACGCACCCCAAGAGAGGTCTGGGGAATAGGGATATCGGTATCTTTTGTCCCCCCAGTCGTCGTCGTCGTCGCCGCCGCCGTCGCCGCCGCCGTCGCCGCCGCTGCCGCAGCCGTCGCCGCCGGCGTCCGCGTCGCCGTCGCCGTCGCCGTCGCCGCCGTCGGCGTCGCCATCGCCGCTGTCGGCGTCTGCGTCGCAATCGCCGTCGCTGGCGTCGTCAGCGTCGCCGCCGTGGCCGTCGGGGGTCGGGAAGACGCGCTGCCCAGCATGCCCAGGATGTCGGCGAGCAGCGCGACGGCCGCCGAGGGCTGCGCGGCGGGCGCGGCCGCGCTGAGGCGCAGCAGGGCGGAGGTGAACATGGTGTTCAGCACCTCCGCGGCACTTTGACGACGAGGAGTCCGGGAAGAGGAGGACCCTGAGATCTGGGCATGGCGCCTTTTTCACACCAAGCATTGTCGCCTGGTTTCGGGCCGTCGTCGCCGCCTCGTGGCCACCCGTCACCGCCGCGGGATTCCCCGCATCGATGCGTTTTTTGGGATCACCGCCCTTTTTCGTATTCCAATTTGCATATGATTCTGCCCCACCGCCCATCCTAAATATGAGCCCGTACCATCCCAAGGGAACTGGTGTCGCCCCCCCCCCCCCCCCCCGGCATCCTCTACAAAAACCTACAATGCGCGCGCACTGGTTGAACACAAATCATAAGTTGTCCAGAATCCCTTGCAAAACAGAGACGAAGCGAACACGCGCGCGTCGTCGCGCGCGCATGCCGAAATCCTTAAAAGTCTAGGATTCGTGAGGATGTCGAAATCGAGTGTCAAAAAATCACATAAAACAAATGACTTCGCAGCACGGACCTTTTAAACAACTTGCGCGCGGGCGATCTGGAGAATTCTTAAGGAAACAATCGGTTCTTCAACGTTTGCATAAAATGCTACCAGACGGGCTTCGCGCGCGCATGTCGAAATCGTTCGAACGCCCCTGCGCGCGTGCCGTCGCGAGAATGATTTTGGCACAAACAAGACGAAATGCGCAAGCGCGCGTCGTCACGCGCGCATGCCGGAATCCATCCAAAACTTTCGGTGTCGTCGCAACTCCAGAACCAAGTGCCCCCACATATACTAAACTAGTGGTTTCGCAACATTATTTTGTTTAAAAATGCGCCCGCGCTCTTGCGAGCTCTTAAGAAAACCATCGATTTCTCAACATGTTCATGGAATTCTGCCAAACGGGCCTCTGGCGCCGCATGCCGACATCATTCGCACGCCCTTGCGCGCGCGCTGGGGGGGCACGATCCGTGTCAAGGAATGCCGCGCGTGCCAATCTCGCGCGTCGGCCGCGCGCGCGCATGTCGAACCCTCCCCAAAACCTTCATCACCGACGCGAAGATGCCGTCATCGTCGTCGGCGTGATCAGCAGCGGCGCCCGCACTGGCCGCGCCGTCGTCATTGTTAACATCGTCACCAGCATCATTACTATCATCATCGTGTCTACCGTTGTCGACGTTGCCATGATACCGCGCCCGCCCAACTCGCTGGGTCGCACTGAAGTGCCCGCTGGGATGTGCCCAGCGGGCAGCGCCACCGCGGCCGCGTCGGTCGCGCCAAACTAGTTGGCCGCTGCGCGCGCGTGCTTGGGTCGGCGCGGCCGCAGAAATTGACCAACCAACGTCAAGCACCCATCGCAGTCGCCACCGCATGGGTTTTGCAAACCAAGTTGCAGGTGGGTGGATGGGATGATTGCGCGAGCAGTGGAAGTGGTCAAGCGCGGTGCAGGGTAGTCAATTCTCCTTTTGAATAAAGAATTGACTCTACCCCCCACCCCACCCGGCGTTATCCGTTCCCCTTTCGGGTATGTAAATCATATGTGATTCTGACACATGTCCATCCGAAATATGAATTTACGGCATCCCCGGGGAACCGGTATCGGCCCCCCTGAGGTTCCCTTGTAAAAAACGATACACGGGGACATTTTCCCTGGCAGCAAATGTGACGAAGTGCACGCGCGCGCGTCGTCGCGCGCGCATGCCGGAATCCTTCAAAAACCTTCGGTGTCGGAAGGATTTCGTAATCGAGCTTCCAAAGAACATACAAAAACACAGGGTTTCGCAATTTTGATTTGCTAAAAAAACTCACGCGCGAGCTCTTGCGAAATCTTATATATATATATATATATATGTATGTGCGCCCCCGTCCCCCCATCTTTTTACGGCTCAGACAGAGCACTGTGTTCAGTTGAGTGCAGGTGAGCCCGATGTCACCAGGGCCCCAGGAGACGCCGCGAGCAACCGCCCGCCCCCCCTGAGAGGGTAAAGGAGAAGCCAGCACCGCCAGCCTTGACCTTACTCCGGGGAGGGCCCCAGACAAGCGGGCTCGAGCGACAGGCACCCCTAGGACAAAATCCCCAAGGCCCGGGAAACACATCAGGGAACCGCAACTCTGAAGAGAAAAACACCCGGGCAAAGACACGGGAGATGGCACAAGATGACTATGGAGTCCACGGACGGCTGGCCGTTTATTTGGGCGTTTCCTGGGGCATAAACCACTCGGAGAGAGCACGTATGCCCCCGTCCCCCTATCTTTTTACGGCTCAGCTCGAGCGCTGTGTTCAGTTGAGTGCAGATGAGCCTGATGTCACCAGGGCCCAAGGAGACGCCACGAGCAACCGCCCGCCCCCCCTGAGACGGTAGAGGAGAAGCCCGCACCGCCAGCCTTGACCTTACTCCGGAGAGGGCCCCAGACAGGCGGGCTCGAGCGACAGGCACCCCTAAGACAAAATCCCCAGGGCCCGGGAAACACATCCGGGAACCGCAACTCTTCCATGGACCCAATCTCTGCGCATCGTTTCGATGGGCGACCCCCCATATCCTCGCCTGGGTAACTCCCTACTCGCCTACTGTCACAGACGGAGAGGAGGGAGAAAGGACGCTTGAATGTGTGTCAAGGATAAAGCGGGGGTTGGTGGAGCGGGGTAAAATTAGCAGGCTAGATGCGAAGCCAATTCTCGCGCATCGGCCTCTTGCTGAGAACTAAGTTGGCAATCTGTTAGTGCTGCCACAGCGTCAACAACATATATGCGAGCAGACCTGGCGCTCGCCCAACGACCTCTGGAGAGATCCGCGAGATCCGTGAGATGAAAAAATCAGCTGTGGCACCCCCTCTTCTGAACGAGTAGAGGGTGACTTTTTGCTGGCCCAGGCCGAGGGCAGCGACGGCCTGTCGAAACAGGCGGCGAAACTCGCTGCGCGGCGAGCCGAGGAGCAGTTCATCGGGCGCCAGCGGCGCCACATACTTCACTGGCAAGCGCGCCGCTGCCTGCGAACGGACGACCGCCAGCTCCGAGTGCCCCCCTCGCCGGCTGGTCTTTGTCATCCGCAGCGCCAAGATCGCCACTCCGCGCTCTCGGAAGACTTGGACGTCTCGACGCCTGAGGTGCAGCATCTCGCCTGACCTCAGGAAACATGCGTATCCTAATTACAAGCAGCATCGCGGCGGTCCGCCCGTGCCCCCACCAGCAGAAGGCGCCAGCGATGGCGGCTGCACACAGCGGTGACAGCGGCAGGGCGCGCACGTTGGGCTCCAGCCTCAACCGCGCATTCTGAAGCTTCCAGCTCAGCTTCAGTTTGCCGCTCATCCGCGGCGTGAAAAAAGGGGCGGCCGCCAAGGTGTTGTTCACCTGCAGCAGCGAGCCATTGGTGTGCCACGCGTGCTCTATGGAAGCGGCAACGCCCTCATCAATCTCTTGAACGAGCCTGGGCCGCTTGCCGGTCGCCGCCCAGAACGCCAGCAGCCTGCGCTTGGCGACGACATATCGCTCCCGCGTGACTGCTGCAACGCGCGAATCACCTAGCGGCCGAGCTCGCCGCAACGCTCGCGCCTCGGCTGCTCTGCGCACCAGCGCCGTGCGGTCCACGGCGGGGGCGGGTCCTGCGGCAGCCGTCGAACCAACGGCTCGGGACGTCCCCTGGGTTGTCGTCCGTGTCGATGTACGCGCGCATCGGGTAGCAGCCAGTAGCGAGGAGGTAGGTCGCGCGGCCTCGCATCCAGCCCCAGAGTCGTCTCGCACTGCTCCTGACCCTGGCCAGGACACTAGCGGCCACCTGCGAGTCAAGCAAGTGGAGGTATCTTGAACTGAACCTGGCCGCAGTCCGCGACCTCCACTTGACGACGTTGACCGCGGCTCCGACCTCCAGCTAATTGATGTGCCCGTCCTCGCGCAAGGGGTGGCCGTGCCCAATCGACCACGTCCACAAACTGGTCTGCAGCCCCGATCGAGGCCACGCCTTAGCTCGAAAAGGGGCCTGCAAGTCGAGCCGCACGTCCGTCCCTCCTCGGCTAGCAATGCGCAAGTACTTAAACACACGCTGCTGCTCGAGGTCATGGTCCTGTATCTCGGTCGCTTTGAAATCAGGCGCGCGGCCCCGAGCTTCCGGGGCGATCCCCATCTGCAAGAAAGGCACGATAGGCGGGGCACCTCGTTTCGCCTTTCGAGCCAAGAGCTGCGCGAGGATGTAGGGCACGACTTGGACGGAGAAAGAGTTGCCGATGAGCGACGACCTGATGATCTCTGTTTCAAGGCTCGGAACGGACTCCTTCACGGCCGCGCGTGTGCACCCGCGGTCGAAGCCCATCAAAGTCTCGCGCTCATCAGCTGCGGGAATCCGCCAGGCAGTGCGTCCTGTGTTCCAGAGCAGGTTCTCATCCTCGAAGTTATACACCTGTGAGACGTAGCTAGTCTCCGTACACCTCGCAATCGCGGCATCTGACGCGCTCTTGATACCGACCACCAGGGCTGGAGGTGACTTCCTTTCTGCAGCTTCGCGGAGGTTGGCAGCGCATGCTTGGGCTCGAGCAGGCTCCAGCCGTCCTCAGCCCAGGCAGGAAAGTCGGACGGCGACGCGTGCAACTTGACCTTGAAGTACTTCTCCTCGTCAGTGATGTCGATCACCCCAGCGCGCGCCTGCAAAGCCCACGATAGCCAGTAGAGCCGAGGCCTCCTCGCCAGGCCCACGCCCATCGCCTCGACCCTGTACGGCTTGACCCCCAGCTGCTGTGAGAACACTGCCAGGTCCTCCGAGCGCATCCCTGCGACGTTCTCCACAAGCCAGTGCGTGCGCTTGATCCCGAACGCCTGCTCTATCGCCTTGAAGGCCCGCGGCAGCTCGAAGAACAGCCCGCTCTTGCTGCCGGGGAGCCCCTGCCCCGCGGCGTTCAGCCCGCTCAGGTCGGTGCACGGGGGCCCCGCCGCGATCACGGCGAGGGAGGCCACCTCGCTCGCCACGCGACCCAGCTGAGCCCAGGCCTCTGACGTGACCTTGGTGACGTCGCCAAGCTCGATCACTCCAGGCCACCTCTGCCGCGCGCAACGCTTCGCCGCCTTGTCAATCTCCGACGACACGTACATGACAACGCGGCACGGGCACCTCGACAACGCCACCATGGAGGCCCCAACCCCTCCGAAGAGGTCAAAGAGCACGACGGTCGGCAGGGCAGCGCCGTCCTGCAGCAGCGCCTGCGGCATCCGGGAGCTCATGGCGCCGCGCGGCGTGAAGGCCAAACCTTCTTCCCCGACTGGCTGGGCAGCAGTCTGGGCACCGTGCTGGGTGAGGCCCGTCGTGTAGCACAAGCCGCCGCTCTCCTCGCTCGCGTCGGTGGCAAGCGCGACCGCGTCGAGCGCTGCCAGCATGTCGGTGTAGGCCATCGGCAGGAGGCTCACCGCTGAGAGCAGCTCAGCGCGCGCCTCAGCTGGCAGCTTGAACGGCTTCACGAGCGCCTTTCCCGCACTAGCGGCTGCCGCTCTCAGCTCAGGGAGGACCCAGACCTGATTGAGAGTGGCGAACAGCGGCCTCCTGAACTCGAAGGCCCTCGCCAGCCGCCCAAGGACCATAAGGCACGCCTTCGGGGTCACCCACGTCTGCTCCAGGAGCCACAGGGTCATCCGCCCGACGTCCAGCAAGTTCTAAATGGTGACCCCCACGCGCCCAGCGGTGCCATCGACGAGAGTCCCCATGCGGACCAAGCGCCTCTGCCGGCACGCAGCCTTCCTGTCCGCCCATGGGGCCCCCGCCTTGCTGTAGGCCTCTCGCTGCCTGAGCTGGTACTCTCCAATCGTGCCCCCGATCATGGTGGCAACGCTCTCGGGCACACTCTCGGGCGTGTCTAAGTCATCCAGGTCGTACTGCACCCGAGCCTGCCGCTGCTTCCGTGAGAATAGCGGGAGCGGCCGGTCACGCCTCCACTCGCTGGACTCCGCGAACCCGGCGCTGTGCGGCCCGTCTCCGATGCCCAGCTGGCTGACCGCAAATAACCTTCCCATCGGGATCACGGCAACGGACATGCGGGCCCACTTGAGGTCTGGCCTGCCCACGCGGGCGCCAGGCACCTGCTTCCGCACCGCCATGTAGCCTCGCCACTGCGGCGGCAGCGAGTACAAGTGGAAGGCGCCTGACTGGTCATCCGACGACCACAAGAGCGCCTGCCCCTCGCCCAGGACGATGCCCGTCCACGACGAGCTCGGCGTCAGGCTGTCCAGGTCGGTCTCGGCGATGCGCCGGTACGCGTTCTGGGGCGCCATATTGATGATCAGGCGCGTGACCTTCGAGAAGCCAGTCGCGGGGGCCCCCTTCTTGACGACGGCAAACGCCCCTGCCAGAACTGGTACCCCCTCGACGCTGAAGATGGCCTCCTCCTCGATTGGCTCGAAGATTCCTACTCGGACGAGGTGCTCGCAAATGCAGTACCACTCCTCGTCGCTCGCTACCTGCAAAGACGCCTTCGGCACCTCCGTCGGCCACTCCGAAGGGGGCTTCAGCAAGGTCGTCGGGTCTAGCAGCCACTTCTGCACGTGCGGAGCTGCGAGGTCCAGGGCGCCGACAGATCTCGCAAGCCCTGCGGACGGCCTCATCAGCTTTGCCATCCTGACGCTGTAGGCCCTCTTCGACTCCTTCTCGCGCCTGGGGCGCTGCGCCGTCAGCTCCTTGTGCGACGGCTCTCCCCCGGGGCGGGGCGCCGCCGCCTCCTCCGCCAACGTCGCGCGCCGCGCCGGCTCCTCGCTCTCGCCCCGCGGCGGCTGCGGCGGCGGCGCGGCCCCGCGCCCGCCTAGGCGGCCTCGCCCGCCCCTCCCGCGGCCACGCCGAGGGGCTGGTCGACCGGCTCCGATCGCGGCTGCGGCCACATGGCGGACCTCGCTCGACGGAGGTGCCGTCGGCGCCGCGGCCAGCCTGGAGAGGGACTCAGGGGTGCCGCTCACTGTCGTGCGCGGGCGGCCCCCGTGGTGGCCTGCAGGAGGGGCCGCCCCCTCGGGCGACCTCTCCCGGCCGAGTCCCTAGAAAGAGCTCCTCATCAGATGCAGCTTTGCCCTGAGCTCCTCCCTCTTGAGTTCGGCGTGCGCGACCCTTCTGGCCGCAGTCTCCTCCAACCTCGAGGCAGCGCACGGCCCGGCATCCATCGGCACCAAGGCAAGCCACTGCGCCGCGTGCCGGCCCCCATCCTTGATGGCAAGGGTCCGCGCCTTGAACTCCTGCATGACCACGTCCAGCGCCTGCACGGTCTGTCCCTCCAGAGCCAGGTCCAGCACGCGCGCGAGCGTCCGCGGCAGCCGCACCTCGGCCGCGCCGATGGCCTTCGGCCCGTGCTCGAGGAAGAACACCGCGTCGAGGAAAGCCGCGCGGCACGCTGGCAGCTCGCCGGGCGGCCCCCGCCCCGCGAATTGCCTCCTCAGCTGCTCCAGCCCGTTATTGAGCAGCAGTCCAGGCTTCCGAGCGGCCAGCTCGATGAAGTAGTCGTGGCGCACCTTCGCGCCCCGCGAATCCACGTCCATCTCGCGCTCCGAGTCGCCGACCTGCTCGCCATCCGACTCGCGGTCGCCAGACGGGCCCTCCGCCCCAGCAGCCTCTCGCACAGCTGCCGCTCGAAGGAGCTCCTCGCCATGCGGTCCCGCGAGGGCCTCGCCGCCGCAGCCCTCTCGGCGGCTCGCGCCGCCAGCGCCGTCTGCGCGTCCTGGCTGCTGCGAGCAGCCTGGGGCTCGGCCAACCGATCCTCGGCGCCCAGCTCCCCATCGGCGCTGCAGCAGCTCGGTCGTCGTCGCCCCCGCCGCGCCCCCCGCTCCTCGAACGAAGCTGCTCGTCCTCTCGCGGGGCGCGGCGACCGCGAGGCATCGGCAGGGCGGCGCGAGCGCGTCTGCCCGGCGGGCCAGGCAGCGGCAGCAGCTCCCGCGCGCGGCGAGGCCTGGCAGGCGGCCTCGGCTGCTCCTCGAGGACGTGCGACACCTCCTCGCTGCCCTCCTCGTCGTCGGTCGGCCCGATCTCTGCGCGCGGGCTCAAGGCTGGCAGCGCCATCCGCCGCGCAGGCTTGGGTGCCGCATGCGCCGCCTTGGCCCGCCGCCTGGCAGGCCGCTGGCCGCTCTCCTAGGCGCCGCTGGCCCCAGGAAGCTGCTCGCATCCCCAGCTCCGCAACAGCTCGAACGCCTCCTCCTCGCTGATCGGGCGGATCAGGTTGACGCGCTCGACCGCCCATCCTGCAGGCCCCGTCGCCCGACAAGCCTCCGCCTGCACGGTGCATGCGTGCAGAAGGGCGTCCTCGGGCCGAGCACCGCTCTCCCCACGAGCCCTCGCGCACCACTCGAAGTACGCGTCCGAGGCTCCCAAACTCTCGAACTCGAAGAGGAGGCCTTCCTGGTCGAGCGTCGGCTCCCCCACGACACGGACGATCTCTCGGAGCCCTGCGAGGCCCAGCTGGCGCCCAGCACCCCGACCTGCACGAGGTCGCCTGCCGCGAGCTCCAACGCCTGCAGGGCCTCCGGCGCGAGCTCCGAGCTGACCCATAGCCCCCGCCGCGCCACAGGCCCGGGCTCGTCTCCCCAGAGGCCACGCTCGCGCCGCAGCCCGTCCGCCGAGCACGCGCCCGGCAGCCGTGGCTTGCTGGTGCCCACGGAGGCGCCGAAGGGACACCAGCAGGGGAACGGAGCTCCGAGGCTCAAGCTCCTGAAAACGGGCCCTGAGGGAGCACTTGACCGAAAGTGCGGGCGGCCAGCCCCCCCAGGGCCCATCGGACACAAAATGACCATGGAGTCCACGGGCGGCTGGCCGTTTACTTGGGCGTTTCCCGGGGCAGAAACCACTCGGAGAGAGCACACACACACATACATATATATATATATATATATATATATATATGTGTGAAAAACACATATAAAACTATGTGTTTTTCAAGATTTTCACAAGATGCTACCAAACGGGCTTCGCGCGCGCGCGTGTCGAAATCTGTCGAGCGCCCTTGCGCGTGTGCCGTCGCGAGAATCCTCTGCAAGAAAAAGGGACGAAGTGCAGACGCGCGCGTCGTCGCGCGCGTATGCCGAAATCCGTCAAAACCCATCGGTTTCGAAAGGATTTCAGCATCGTGTGTCCAAAAAACCTACAAAAACACAAGGTTTCGCAACACGGGTTTTCAACAAAAGCGTGCGCGCGCGCTCTTGCGTCGTCGTAGTCGTCGCCGTCGTCGTCGTCGTCGTCGTCGTCGTCGCCGTCCTCCTTCCTCCCGCGTCGTCGTCGTCGTCGCCTACGTCGCTCTCTGTCTTTCCTCGTGTTCGTCGTCGTCGTCCTCTTTGGCGTCGTGGTCGTTTCCGTCGTCGTTGTCGTCATGCTCGTCCTTACTCCTCCTCCCTCGTCGTCGTCGTCGTCGTCGTCCGTCGTCGGCGTCTCGTCGTCGTCCCTCCTATTTCGTCGCCGTCGTCGTCGTCGTCGTCGTTGTCGTCGTCGTCGTCACTCCTCCCTCGTCGTTGTCGTCGTCGGCGTCGCCGTCCATCCTCCTTATTCGTCGTTCGCGTCGTCGCCGTCCTCCCTCCTCCCTTGCCGTTGTCGTCGTTGTCGCCGTCGTCGTCGTCCCTCCTCCATCGTCGTCGTCATCGTTGGCGACGTCGTCGTCGTCATCGTCGTCGTCGTCGGCGTCGGCGTCGTCGTCTTCGTCGTCGTCGACGTCGGCGTCGTCGTCGTCGCCTCCGTCGTCGTCGTCGTCGTCGTCGTCGTCGTCGTCGTTGGCGTCGTTGACGTCGTCGTCGTCGTCGGTGTCGTCGTTGTCGTCGTCGTCGGCGTCGTCATCGTCGTCGTCGTTGTCGTCGTCGCCGTCGTCGTCGTCGGCGTCGGCGTCGTCGTCGTCGTCGTCGGTGTCGTCGTCGTTGTCGGCGTCGTCGAAGTCGTTTGAGACGTCGTCGGTGTCGTCGCAGTCGTTGTCGGCGGCGTCGTCGTCGTTGTCGCTGTCGTCGTCGGCGTCGCTATCGTTGCCAAGTGCCATTTGGTACCCACCGTCACGGTCTTAAGAAATTTTGCAAACCAAGTTGCGGGTTGGTGGGTGGAATGTTTGCGCGAGCAGTGGAGTGGACAAGTCACTGCGAACAGAAATTTATTGCACACCAGAATTTCCACAACAAAGGTTGTGCCACACGGATCGCACCACACATACCTCACAACATCGATGGCACCAGATAATTTGCATAACGTTGGTAAGTTCTCTTTTACCACGAATGCATTAGGAACGACCACCTTCCCGAAACCGGGATGAACCGCCCGCGCCCATTGACATATGATTCTGCCCCAGCGTTCATCATAAAAACGAATTTGTATGATCCCGGGCCGGGCACTCCAATCTCGACACCACCGCCGTCGTTTGGAACACATACTATGAGCTCGCACTCGTTTATCATAAACCAGCCGTCCCGGAAATGCCTTGCAAATAATGGGACGAAATTCACACGATCGCGTCGTCGTGCGCACATCCCGGAATATTTCTAAAAAGCCAAAAAGGTTTCGAGGACTTCAAAACCGAGCGTCCCGAAAACGTATCAAGACATGGTTTTGCAACATTAATTTTCGACTTTTCGAAAAAGTTGCGCGCGCGTTCTTGCGATTCGTTTTGGTGTGTTGCGTCTTGTTTCCGCAGAAAAAA